CTGAGTGATATTACAACAGTCTGATCAGGAGGCTGCAGACTGCAGCCATGTGAGTGAGAGAGAAAGAGAGTACAAGGGAAAAGACGAAAAAAAAAACCCCAACAAATCTTAAAATCAGTATTTACACGTTGTGTTATAATACACCAACAATTAAATCCAGATTTTTCTTTTTGTTGTTCCTTTTGAGTATACAGCTACAAATAAATCAAAATTACAAAAGTTTTGATCAGTACAAAACCTTCAAGGGCTCTCCAACTTAGCAAAGATAGAATCAGTACTTTTGGAAGGAACAAAAATAAAAAAAATAAAATCGCGAACACACTTGAATGCAGCGTAAAAAGCTTATCGTCTAAAAACAAACCATTATAAAATACCATTCCACCGTCATAGACATCATTTGAAATAGCGTCCTTGTGATTCACTCCAAGTACTGCTGACTGTATTAAAGCAAACTTCAGCATAGTTCAGCTTCAGTATTTAAAAAAAAAGAGACAAGTAACATGCTGAAGAAAACCTCTGAATTATCCAGCGACGTGTGTGCACATATCCAGCCGAGGGTGTTGTTATGGCTACGAGATGAGAGCGGGAATGCCATGAAGTTAGTTTGTTTCAAGGTTGAAGTGCCCTACGAGTCAGACAAGACACCGCTGACCTTATTTTTCCTACTGAACGCGTTCTACATCATTTGAGCCGTCCTCAGGGACTACTTAAATCAGATGTGCCTGAGACAGTTTCTCCATTTGAACCTAAAGTGCAGGTTAAAAAATAATAATATTCAAAAATCTACCGTTATGTCTTTTTCTTTTAAATTTAGTTATAACTGTTTAATGGTATTTTATAAATAAAAACCATTCCTCATGGTCACAACTATCAGTGATGCACAAGAACATCACGTACTGTATTTCACGAGTCTTGAAAAGGTTACTTTAAAATCCACCCTTAACGTAGGAGTGGCATACACACACAAAAAATATCCCCTGTAGTAGCATAGATATATATTCATAAATGTATTTATATATTATATGCAGATACCATGTTACAACAAGTCCTATGCTGAGAGTCTGCTTTTCAACAACACAGACTTGCCTCAAAAACGAGCCAGACGAGACACTGCTAACCTTATTTTTCTTACTGAACGCGTTCTAAGTCATTTGAGCTAACAACACGTTATAACGAGTCCTGTGCCGAGTCTGCTTTTCAAAAGCAGACTTGCCAACTCTGCCAACAAATGCCAACTCTGAACACTGCACACAAAAGCACCGTCTATCCGTGCATAGGCCTGAACACAGCCTGTCTCCAGAGTGTGAGTGTGTGTGTGTGTGTGTGTGTGTGTGTGTGTGTGCGTGTGTTAATGCTGGTCAACTACTACCTGACAACAGCAGGAAACAACACTCCAGATCATCTTGGTCTAATTGTTTCCGGTATCAAGAAGCAATTAGACCAACAAAGCCGCATTATGAAAAACAATGGATAGCAACAAGCCATTAACTGAGAAAACAAGTGCAATTAGGACTATTAATTGTACAAATCCGATAAAGTAATGGGCTGGTTTTCCCGTCTCTGTCACCAAGTGATATCTGCACCGACAGATCAAGGACGAGGTGAGTTTCAAAGACGTGAACCTGACCGCTCTTCAACAGCACTGCTGTCATCAATGTTAAAAGCTACACAGATCATTTTTCAGCCAGGAGATTTTGAATTCTTCAGGGCACCAACACAACCTGATGAACTGCGATTACCTGAAAACCATTTCTGAGGATAAAGGTTGCAAACAAAGGACAGTTCAACCTTTGATTAACTGCTTCATATTTAGTTTTTTTGTTTGTTTTTTTTAAATGGCAAAAAATGGAACGAACCTACTGGATAAAAATAGAGTTGACAAAACTATACACCTGCATTTTTGAACCTCAAAGACTGCAGTAAATGAATTTTTCTCCAAATGAACGACTCTGAACATCCACTTTTTAAAAGACAAACATCTTTTTTCTTTAAAAACAAAAAAAACATCTCCCATCTCCTCTCTCTTCTCTCCCATCTCACATGTAATTTACAGAGACCAATAAAGTCCAAACTCAACACAACAATGTCCACAGGACACTAAATGCTGACATATGCAATATGCACACACCAGAGAACAAAAGTCTTTACAAGTCGGATACAAAGGACAAAAAGAGCGAAATCAAGAGGAATCCTGGTGTTTTGGTTTGCTTGTGGTGACACATTTATACTGTGTGATAACAAAGAAATGTTTAACTCCTGCAGGTCTGAGGAGCAAAGACTGATGTCCATGCAGACCTGGCATATCTGATGCATTTGCATATAAACTGTTTGTTGCCATGGTGTGGTCCTTGGGTCTATGTCTGATGGAGGGCGTGCTCCAGTTGGCTGTAACAGCGGGCCATGGCATCTGTGGGACTACAGCAGTGTGGCGGACAGGCAGGGACAGTCATTTTGGCTATGTACACATTCGTAGTCGGTCCATGGCTCCCCCCCGATGAGTGTCATTTTCTCAGGTCTAGTACGCATACCTGTCAAACAGGAAGGCATATGTGGTTAGAAATTTATGTCACCCAGTGTGCTGAGCACCTCAGTAAGACCATGTGAAAATTAAAACAAATCATCCTAGGTAAACTTAAACACCTTTGTCCCCCCCTTTGTTAAGACAGAAAAACGCACCACACAAAAATACTGCAAAAGGACGGTTGCCTTATATACATAGTGTATAAACTCAAAATGCACATTTCACTTAAAAATTAAGATGTGAAAATGTGAACAAATCAACAAGGGATATTCTTCTCCTGTTGAAAACCCCCAAAAAGAAATAAATAAGTCTTCTCATCAGATATTGATGCTTCTTTCCTGTGTGACAGAAAATAGGAGACAGATGTTTGTTTGTTTTTTTTAAGTTAATTCCCAATAAAACTGTTCTATTGCTAACTACATTGCTGTCTGTTTTATTGCTGAAGTCCTAAATGATCACCTTTGAAGTGTTTGTGCTAATAACATCATGTACAGTCAGACAGGCATGGAGAACAGCACTGACTGGGAGGCTTTGAACAGATCACATAGTTCAATTCAACATATGAGACTTTAAGAATCCACGAGCAGCTACTTAAAATCTATTGAATTTATCATCTGTCATATTATTATATACAATTCCACTGTACTATGTTCATCAGGTGTTCTGCATCAAAGAAGAAG